ATCAAGCAATAACAAATGTTGGTGGGGTTGTGCAGAGAAATGAACCCTTCTTCATTGTTGGTGGGAGTGCAGACTGGTGCAACCACTGTGGAAATAAATATGGAGATACCTCAAAAAACTAGGATTAGAGGTCCCATTTGACCCAGCTATTCCTCTGCTTGGTATCTTCCTAAAAGTATTAAGAGTCATACCACAGCAATATGTATGCATCCATGTTTATACCAGCACAGTTTATAATAGTTAAGCTTGGAAACAGCCCAATTCCCCATCAGCTGAAGTTGGGTAAAGAAGATGTGCTTTGTTTTTTTGTTTTTTGGGTTTTTTTTGTATATATAAAAAAGGGAGTACTACACAGCCATAAAGAATAAGAAATTAGAAACATTTATAGATAAATGGATGCTCATTGAGGCGATACTCTGAAGTGAATTAAATAGGACATGCATGTAAATGCTAAATACTTTCTCTGGTGTGAGAAACTCAAAGTGTAAATAAGGATTAAAATTGATAAGTGATAATGTAAAATAGGAAGAAATAGTCCAAAAGTGGGAGGGGTAGGGGAAAAGAAAGAAGGGAAAGGAAAAAATATGAGAAAAGGAATAAATGGAAACAGTCTTTGTAAATAAGGAGGGGTGGAGGAGTTGTAGGGAGGGCAGGGGAATGGGAAAAAAATAAGAACCAAGATACATCATGTAAAAGTACAAGATCCCACTGATGAATGTAAATGTATTGCATCCCTAAAATATATCAATAAAATAATTTAAGGGAATAAAAATTATCCTATAAAATGTTTAGTATCTTGATAGTTGAAATAATTCAGAAGGGTTATTTTGGCAGGAGAAACATATTTTGTTATAGTTGTCTGGTTGAGATAGAGTGAATACTCCTTTCCAACTTCAGTATTTTCTTCAAAGAGGCCCAGTATGAAAATTCCATGCAATAGTACTTAAAGAAGTAAACTTGGATTGAATGAAGGCACTAAAGTTCCTATATAAACTATCCTTTTCTGGAATAAAAATGAAAGCTAGTATCAATGCCAAGTAAAGCACGCATGTAATAACTCAGAAGGGAGCAATATTACATGCATGCTTTACTTGGTATTGATATTGGCTTTTATTATCTATCTATCTCTATCTATCTACCTATCCATCTAGCTCTGATACTTCGTATTGGAACTGGTTTTTATTATTGAGAGAGGCAGAGAGAAAGAGATTACTTGTAACGAGTGATAAAATTAAAGCCAAAATAGAGTAAAATTCACTACAGAAGTTTAGGGAAATATTGCACATCTGATATTCCAAAGGGAAATGTAATTGTCTAAAACACAACTGTTTTATCTGGTTTTCCTTTTTCCTAGTAGTCTAATCCCATTATTTTAAAATTGAATAAATGTGTTTTTTGGACCATTTTGCTTCATGAGCTTCTTGCTCAATAGACTGTGAGCCCACCTGGTGGAGGTATATGTTCCTCTCACAATGTAATTCCTCAGACTCATAAATTTCACAGAACATTTATTCTAGTTTGCTTTCAGGAAATAAAAGATACTAGTAAAGAGGCTCTCCATAGTATACATTTGGTTTATTCTTTTTCTTGCTTTGTCTCCATGTGGGGCCACTCAGGCTAAGTTTGCTGTGGCCAGAATGACACAGCTCCACTTAGAAATGCATACATTCCTACGGGGGCCGGGTATTTAGCTCAGCGATTCGGTGGCCTGCCTTGCAAGCGCAAGGACCCGAGTTCAATCCCCGGTACCAAAAAAAAAAAAAGAGAGAGAGAAATGCATACTTTCCTACTAAATGCATGTCATATATCTTGGTTGGATTGAGCCCTAGTTTTGGGCTCTTCTATATTCTTTAAAGACTTCAGCTAAATATGTGACAGAATATAGCATGCTGCCTTCCTCCAGGTTCGTGTGTTTAATAGAGTAATCTGCAGTTTCCTCACTTCCTGTAAAAATAGTCCCTGTCAGTGCATAAGGAAGAAAATTAAAAATAAAATTGATTCATTCTAAATTCTTCCAAATATATAGCCTCATATTTATTAACCTAAAAATATTTTAAAAGCAGTACATAATCTGTCCATGAATTGAGAACGCTAAAAGGATTCAGTCCAATAACAAAGTCCCACCCCTCTAAGAAACAATCTATTTGGGATATATCCCTCTCAATAAATTGGTATAACATGCAGAATTCTTTTGTTTACAGAAATAAAAACAATTTATGGTTTTGCTGTTTTTTGTTTGTTTTTGTTTTTCTTTGCAGAGGGGGGATAACAGGGATCAAACTCTGGTGCTTGCACATGCCAGGCAGGTGGCAGAACCTCTTGCTAAACCCCAAGCCCTAACAATTTATGCTTTATTTCAATAAAAATCCCTTAAACAATTTGGATACTGACTTCAACTTTGATTTTAAGTGCCCAATGAAATGTCAAAAGCAATATAAGCTTCCATAAATGGAACAATTCAACCAGCCTATGAAGAAAATGACACACTAGATTATTTAAAAAACTTGAAGAGAGTTGAAATATTTGTCCTACTAGCTACTCTTATACTGATGGCCTTTAGGAATGGAAACTTTCTACAGTATATCCTCCTCACTTCTCTGAACATACAGCCCTTATCAGAAAAATGGGTTTTCTGTTGTAGGTTTGAAGAAAAAGAAAGCAAGTCTTAAAGTGCAGGAAAAGGCAGAGATGAGCAAATTTATTTAAGATTTGCACCTGGTTTTTAACAGCTGTTTTCATTAATTTCATTTAATTGTCCTGACATCAAATTAGCCATTACAGTGGATCCAGAAGACAAATCATGAAGAGAAACAAGAAACAGAGAAAAAAAAAAAAAGTACAAATTTCAGTAACTTCTTCAATAGCTTTAGTTTGGTGCTGGTGTTTTAGTATCTGAATGAACTGTGGTCTGTTTTTCATTACAACCCATGCAGAACTATTGCCTGTTTTGTTCTACAATTTTTGGTCATTTTGGCCTGATGGTGACTATTTTGTTTTGTTTTCAATATTACACAGAATAAACTTGTTGTAGCCACCACCCAAAACATAAAAACCTAAAAAAGCTGTTTTGTGTTGAGAGTTCCTGATGACACCTTCCAGAATAAATTGAGTATGTTAGTTTCCCTGACTGCTATCCAAGGTGCAGGTGCAGGTGGTAGGCAAGAAAGAAAGAAAAAGAAAATAAACCTAACTTATAGTTGCTAAATTAGAATTAGTCTGTCAGGTTGATACATTGAGATTAAGTTTTGATGCTTTTCATTTTGAAGGAGACTAATGCATGGACTTTCTCACTTTGCTAAACACTAACTTGCACATATCTGTAAAAACAAAAATAGATAAATCTTCATCTTCATAATGTTTGGTTTTAATTCCATAGCCTTCATGTGAAGGCAAAGGTGGAAATTATTAAAAAGCAACTATTTTTACAGAGACCAAATTCAATTTGTGTTATCAAATAGAATGATAGTCTCGTTGCACTTAGAGATTTTGTTTTGAAAGACCTCTTCTTACACTCTTCAATTGCTTTCCTTAAGAAAGTAATAGTCAAAAAATACACATATAATTATATTGTGTCTGATCACAACAATACTAAGGAGTCAATGTTACCTGCAGAATTAAGTCCAAAATATGCAAAGTAACAATTTTCCTCTAAAATCTTGACTCCTTCCTTTTTTCTGTAAAAGACCTTAAGTGGTAAAATAGTTTATTCTAGCAACATGATCTACACAATTTGTATTCTGAAATCTTTCTCTTGAACATCAACCTTTCCAAACTCATCCATTCTGTTTTCTTGTAATGAATTTCATTCCCCAGAAAGAATTCTCTAAATTTTTCTCCAACAGTATTTAGTAGATATTTCTCCTGTAGGTACATCTATTGCATTCCCACATGGACAAGAGCAATATAAGAATATTAGAATTACTTTACTTGTTTCTTTTCTACTAGAAATTGAACTATTGGGTGGCAGAAAACATGTATTAGTTTCTGTCTTGTGATACATAGTACATTTTTTAGTATGGAGGAGGCATGGAATTTTTTTAATTATTGAATTAAGTCGGACTACTATACCCCAATAGCTTAGGATATATATGAGTGTTCTCTAAAATGTGTCAAGGTTATATTTCTATGTGAAATAGGGGCAGCTTTTAAAATGATTTGGGTTCTACCACACTTCCTGATTTTAATATCACAACAAAGAGGAGATTAGGAAAAATAGCATATATTACAAGGAACACTCCAATTTTCCAGTAAGATTTAAATCATCCAGAAGATGCCACATAGAATTCAAAGATAGGGCTGGGGATTTAGCTCAATGGTTCTGCAGCTTGCCTCGCAAGCACAAAGACGTGAGCTTGATCCCTGGTACCCAAACAAAAACAAAATAGAATTCACAAATAATCTAACACAACCCTTAAAAGTATATGGGATTCCTAGATAGCAAAAAATCCTAAGCCACATATATAGTAAAATGTATTCAAAAATATTTGCAGGAGAGAAAAAATCTTGACCTAATGATACGTCAACTCCAGAATTCTGTGAGTTATTTATAGCCAAAGCTCGGATGCAATAGGACCATCAGTAAATTCATTCCCAGTCAAAAAATGTCACTAAAGCTTTAAAGAAAATAGAAATTAAAATATGTTCCACATGGGAAAGTTTTCTTTAGCCTCCCTTATTTTTTTATAGGAAATCAATTTGTATCACTGATAATATCATTCACATCAGACAACCCAAAGTTGTTAGGAGTTAATTTAGTTTTATGCTGAAGCAATTTGATACTTGTTCTGATTTGTGATTTTCATTTTATTTGTTAATGAAAAAAATTAATGAGCAATGTTACCAGAAATACAACTCATCAAAGCATCAGCATCACTAAAGACGCTTGCCACATCCTGTACACTGTGATCACGGTACAGCTGGGACCGGGACCACTGTAATGGAGGAGCCATCAATCAGATAGCAGAGGCAAGATTTCAGGGCATAGGATCCCTCACACATACCTTTGCACTGATTTGTGTTTTTGTCAAGAATTGCCTTTGTGGATACAATTTTTCCATACCTGAAAAAGAGGGAAAAAAGTCCATGTTATTATAACTCAATGAAGACCTTAAAATACCTTAGTGAATGTCAAGGCACACAAAAGTGAACATGAATAAACCAAGTAAAACAGTTCTTAACTTCTATAACACGCCTGGGTGATTTCCTCTCACTAGCCCTTCTTCGTAACTCAAGAATGCACCTCCCTGCGCACCTAAGCACTGGGCTGCACCTTCACAGAGTGTATCAGAGCTGTCAGAGGTGGCAACCGGTGGTTGTATGTGATTGAGGAAGGCAAACCACAACCTTTGGACTCTTGAAGGGAAGCAGGAGCACAGGCACCAGGCTGAAGAAGATCTGCATCCCATTCTAACCCTACTTTCTGTTGTAACCTCGAGCAGTTTATCCCAACTACTCTAGGCCACAGTTTGATTTCTTCTGCGAAACTGAAAAGCGCCATATGTCAAGTCTTCTGATTCAATCAACTTTCACATCTTAGACAATAGAGTGTAGCAGTTAAACGTACGGCACCAAAGCACCACGGCTCCACTCCAAATTCAGTTTCTCCATATATTGGTTCAATAAATCATGTATACTCTGAATCACTTCATCATCTATAATGATATAGGTACATTTATTAATAAGACCGATTACTCATTTGCAATGATTTAAATCTATTTAAATATATAAGACGAAGATGATATTATCTTCCTTTTAAGGTTGTTGTGATAACTGAGTGGGCTGTACCTGACATGCTGAAGATGGTGGATGATACAAAAGAAAGGTCACTAAATGTTACTCTTTCTCCCAATTATTCTCTATGGTATCTGCTACATAACAACAGTCCTTGGTATTTTCTGAGGTACAGGAGAAGTAAAAGAAGGATAAAGCTTCTGTCACAAATGACAGTTTACAGCATTACTAGACTGACAAAACTTCTAATAAGAAATGTGGCAGCTAAGGTTATTTTCTTAAAGGTGTTTTACATTTACAATTTACACTACTATTTTTAATGTTAGACATTTTATTAAGAAGGTTTTTCACCATACTTGTTCACACAAATACAAGATTTATGCTTTTTCCTTTGTTTTGTATTACCACAATGCCCATTACTTCCTCTGCACTGTCATATAAGCTCCAAAACCTCCCAACCCCCACCTTTCCCACCTCTCAACAGATACTACCATACAAGAGCTACATGTCATCCCAAGAGTTTCTGTCTCAAGAAAATCACCATTAAAATTCTGTCATATTTGAATACTCATTTAGCAGAGAATGATTCACAGATCACAACCATCAACTAGAGGTAATGTTTACTGAGTTCAGGCTAGTTAAGCAAATAAACATTTGTAAAATGTATGTAATGAGAAGGAAAAACAAAGGAAAATTTTGCTGAAACTTTCCACCAAAAGTAGCACTAACACAGTCTATGACAGGTAAAAACTGGAAAGAGAAATGAGTGACAATATTTAAAACTAACACACATCAGGCATAGAAGTCTTTAAGATAAAAATCCTTCTTAATTGGTTTCTAAAGCTACTCTTTAAATTTTTATAGAAGTAGCTTCAAAATTAAAATTTAGCTCTATCTTTTAAAGACTAAATTAAAAATTACTGTATTTCATAGCAAATTATATTTGACAGTGGGACTCTAGGCCAATGGTGTGCATATTGTCCCAGTTTATGAATATTACAAGGATGTCTTGTACTTCATTAAATGTGTTTTATGTAAAACTACTATCATTACTTTAGAGCAAAAAAAAAATCAAATCTTTTCTTGTGGAAAGCACTTGTAAGTACTTAGGCTGTCAATTTTTTTTTTCTAAAAAAATAAATAAGTAAAAAGAACTTTATTCTCCAGAGTATATGACAATGTTGGCAGAAATGGAAGGTCTATCTCACACAGACATATGCCAGAAAAGCAAACTGTGCTACCTCTTGACTCCCCAGTTTCTAGTTACACTGTAAGAGAGACTTTCCAACAGGGCACGATCACAAAACAATGGAATAAGACTTCCAAGTGCTACATGCAGCATCTGTTCTGACAGGAGTTGCGAGAATTCCAAACCTTTGCATTAACAATTACTTTGCAGAGCTTTGAACAAGAGAAAGCACTTAATGGGCCACTGATTACAATTCATGTCTGAACTCTCACGATGACAAACAGGTCCTTTCTGCATGACTGGCACTGTGTTCTCCATGCCTACAGTCAACAGTTCATGCGGGTAAATAAACTTGAGGCTATCTTTAATAGGTCGAACCCACTGTAAACACCACCAATATAATACACCTGAGAAGAATTCAGTAAATGGTTCTTCCTGATGTTTTGTCGAAGTATACTCATACTAGAATACATATGAAATGTATGCTTTTTACACATTCTAAAAGAGAAAAAAGGGACTTCTGAGGTAAAAAGTAATCCTAAACTGACTTACTCTTTCCCTTCTTAGAGTTTAGATCAAGACTTAAATCTTCATAAAGTTTTTCTTCTACCCGACCACCCACAAATGGAAAGCAAAATCTGATACCAGAGAACAAATGTGACCAGGTTCCTGAGCGATGCCTGGGACTAGACACCAAGCCCTGGTCCCAGGAGTGTCCTGGCTCCACGGAGCTTCCCGGGTAAAATGGTTTTCTCCATCCTCTCCTTTCCCACAGTACAAAGAGATAAAAGACTGTCCACAGTCAGCTTCCTTAGGGGGTTGAAAATCTTGAGAAAAAACAGATGAATGAGGTGTACAGTTTTGTGCCATAATTCTTTCCATGTGGGTCTTCTCCAGCTGACAGAGGAGAGAGCACTAAGGCATTCTTCAACATTAAAAATTACCCAACTCCGTAACTACATACTCACGGGCTATGCAGAGTGCTCATGGAGCTCTCTAAATACTGCTAGTTACATATATTAAAAAAAATCATATTCTAAGAGTGCTTTTTAAAAGAGTAGGTATTCTATAATAGCTTCTCGTGCAATGTTTGGTGTTTTTATAACTGAATTTTATAAATGCATATGTTGTCTATTATATCTTCATAATACACTTACCTTAGTTTGTCAGTACAGGTTTTATATTCACTTTTTAAAAAATAACTAGCCCTTTTATGGCATCTATCTTAGTTAAATGGCATCTAAATCAAACTATATTTGTTGATACACTCGATTATTTCACATACAAGCCTAATTTAAACTAATGGCATCTTCATTTTCCAAAGCTGGAGAGAAAATAAGAGCTATTATGGATCTACTCTTCATGAATTATGAAGACATCAAACTGGAAAAATATTTCTATAAAGAATTTATTTTTAAACCCTTTGCTGAATCACCCACTGTGTATATTAATTCAAAAAATACAGGCAGAGACTGAAAATAGTTTCTGCAGTCAATTAACTCTCAGTGAAATCGTTTTTCACATGCTTTCTATACTAACACCAGACTAGAAAAAAGGTATCATATTTATTTAATGGATGAAACATTATTCTTTTAGCAAATGTGGTTGTTTGCCTACTTCTAGATGGCTCGTTCATTCTTTGGCATTTGGAGATGCTAATCGAGTCTATCTTTGGCCATAGGAACTCAGTTGGAATATGGTAGGGCTGTGATAGATGATTCCAGTAAAGTTTCCTCTACAAGTTCATAGCCATCAATATTCTGAAAGATTAGCTATTTCAATCTACCAACAAGTGGTCAAGACCACACATAACAGTTATAGGCTCAAACGTGCCTCTGTCCCCAAATTAATATATTGACATCTTTGCCCTTGGTACCTCAGAATTCAAATGGCAGGGGCTTTTAGAAATAATTAAGGTAAAATGAAGTCACTTAATCCATTAAAATTAAAACGAGTCACTTAATCCAACATGACTCATGTCCTTATATGAAGGGACAGACACAAAGGGAAGATATGAGAAAGAAACAGAGAAAATACAGCCACCTGCAAGCCACAGAGAGGGGCCTCAGAAGACCAACCCACCACTGTCTTAGGATTTCAGACTTCCAACTTCCAGAAGTTTGGGAAAGTAAATTTTTGTTAAGCCACCCATACAGTGGTATTTTGTTATGGCAGGGCTAATGACCAACTGTAAAAACCTCTTTTCCCAGGTATGGTAGCTTTCCTAAAAGGAGCAGAAATGAGAGGATCAATGGAAAATATTCTTCCTTTAAATACTTTGCTGAATGATTTTGCACTTGGTCCTGCAAGACCTCACTTGAAACATCCAAGGTCTTCTCCTGGAGCCTTTGTGTGTGTGTTAACAGAGGCCTAGGAGCTTCCCAGAGCTTCCCAGAAGAGACAGCTGTTAATCCTTTACCTGGCCCTGGGCCTTGTAGTCTCTGAATTCCCTGCATCCCCACCTACAATCAAACTCTTACATCGTGGATCCACACTAGGTAAATCTTACAAGTCTATTTCAGAAGTCAAACTGTATTTTATTTACATAATATCTTAGGACAAACACCCTACACACAATACAAAATAGGTATCTAGAAGGAAGAGTTGGAGAAGTGTTCTTAGAAGAAGGAAGTGCTTAGAAAGGGGCAGTATTTTAACCATCAGAGATGCTTTAATGGGTGTGGTGATGCATGCCTGTAATTCTAGCATCCTTGGCGATTTAGACAGGAAGATTGCAAGTTCAAGTTCAACTTGAGCAATTTAGAGATTTAGTGATACCCTATCTCTTAGAGAAAAAAAAATTTTTAAAGCCTTGGAGATGTGGCTCAGTGAAAAGGCTTTATTCAGTCCTACAATGACATTAATTAATAAAGTAAACAATTAAAATATTTTTAAAAGGTTTCTTTTCTAAGACAACTTATTACTAGTTAGAGAATTATTTTAATGCTATAAATACATTCATCGGGAACCCAGGGTGAAAAGTGAGGCTGCATTTCATCTTTGACCTTCTCTAAGGAAATTAATCTAAAACTGCAACGTGCCCCAGAATGTCTCGGAAGGTTTGTGAACACGGACTGCCGGGCCCCATTCCCAGAAATTCTGACTGTGTGGATATGAAGTGGGCCTGGAGAATTTGCATT